ATCTCCCTCGGCAATGGGAAGAGGACGTCGAAGCCGTCGGGCAGCTCGATGGCGGTGAGGAAGCGGACGTGGCCCGTGTGACCCTGGGAGAGCCCCACCAACGCCGGGGCCGCCTTGGCCGAGACGGCGAGGGTCAGCACCACGCCGGCGCTGGTCCCGATCCACAGCAAGTCCTTGCACACCAGGAGAGCCGTGATCCGCAGGCAGGCTGCCTTGTGCTGCCGGATAATGGCATCCGAGCCTGTCGAGCACCCCAGCCGTCAGCGTCCCTCCCTGCCTGGCATGGGGCTGTGAACCCCGCCCATGCCACCAGTCTCCGTTCCCAGGGGTATCCGGGGGATGTGGGACGCGGGGAAGGGACCCCACAACCCCCCCTGGCTGGTGCAAGGCACCCTTGGGTGCTGCCAGATCAGTCTGCCTGATTTCCCCGTGGGATTATGCAGTTACCCAAGGGCTGCCCGATTCCCACATGGGATTATGAAGCCATTCAGGGGATTCCCTATTGCCCCGTGGGATTATGCAGATGCCCAGGGGTTTCCCTATTTCCACGTGGGATTATGCAGCAACCCAGGGTATGCCCTATTACCTGATGAGATTATGCAGCTGCCCAGGGGCTGCCCTATTTCCCCGTGGGATTATGCAGCTGCGCAGGGGCCGCCCGATTTCCGCATGGGATTATGCAGCCACCCAGGGGCTGCCCTGTTTCTGCGTGGGATTATGCCACCACCCGGGAGCTGCCCTATTTCCACGTGGGATTATGCAGCCACCCAGGGGCTGCCCTATTTCCACGTGGGATTATGCAGCCACCCAGGGGCTGCCCTATTTCCACGTGGGATTATGCAGCCACCCAGGGGCTGCCCTATTTCCACGTGGGATTATGCAGCCACCCAGGGGCTGCCCTATTTCCACGTGGGATTATGCAGCCACCCAGGGGCTGCCCTATTTCCACGTGGGATTATGCAGCCACCCAGGGGCTGCCCTATTTCCACGTGGGATTATGCAGCCACCCAGGGGCTGCCCTATTTCCACGTGGGATTATGCAGCCACCCAGGGGCTGCCCTATTTCCACGTGGGATTATGCAGCCACCCAGGGGCTGCCCTATTTCCACGTGGGATTATGCAGCCGCCCAGGGGCTGCCATATTAACTCACGGGATTACGAAGCCACCCAGGGCTTGCCCTGTTACCCCGTGGGATTATGCAGCCACCCAGGGGCTGCCCTATTCCTGCGTGGGATTATGAAGCCATCCAGGGGATTCCCTGTTACCCCGTAGGATTACGCTGATGCCCAGGGGATGCCCTGGATTCTGCACGGGATTATGCAGCTGCACAACACTGAGGACGAACCCCATGAGCGTGACAAGTCGGGTCTCCTTCCCCGACGCTGGTTGGGATGCAGGAGCTACTAAATTTCCCAGCGCTGGGTGCTGCGGGGCATCGCATTTTCAAGGCAGACGATGGGGACGGGTGCCCACTGGAGACAGCGACGGGCACCCACCGGAGATCTGCCACCGGTGGGACTTACCGGCGAGCATCTTGTGTACCGGGGGGGTGATATCCGCTTCGGCCAACTGCTCGTAGCTGGTGGCGTGGTAAAGCCGGACCTGGGCGCTGCTCTGCAGCGCGACCCACACGCCGGTCCCTGCGCTCACCATGCAGGTGACGCTGCGCCCGCCGTCCTGTCCCACCTGGAGCGTGTGCTGCGGGTGACAGAGCCACAGCGATGCCACTAATGATGCCACCAATGCCCATCATCGTCCCCCCCGAACCTCCCGCCATCGCCCACGGTACCTCTTGCGCCAGCGTGGCGGTGTTGAGGACGATGACCCGGTTTTGGCAGCCGCACCAGAGCTTCCCCGCCACCGCCACCATCTTGGTGATGGGGCTCCCTGGCGAGCCCAGGGAGAGGGATTTGGAGTTTTGCGGGTCCCAGAAGCGGCCTGAGAGGGTGGTGGGAGCGGGGTGGGTAGTTAAAGCATCCCCAGAAAACCCCATCTTGACCCGGCCGATGGGATATGGTGGCTGGAGATGCCCATCTCCAGGTCTCCCGTTAGAGGAGACGTGAGCTGATGTCCCCAGGGGATGCCGGCGGCAGGCGGGGACCAGGAGGAGGATGCACGCCTCCACCTGGCTCTGATTTTGGGGTCTTCAGCATCGCTTGAGGGATGTCCTTTCCCTTCCCGTGGAGGCAGGGAAGCCGCCGGCACCCTGAGCATCCTTCCCTGGAGGGCTGCCCAAGCACCCACCCAACAGCTGCCGCTTTGGGGCTGCATTTAACCCCCCCTAGCGCCCTTTGATGGCCCCGATCCGGCCTCACCTGCCTCCCGCTGGTACGCAACGAGCTCCCCGTTGGCCAACGACACGAAAACCTGGTTATCCAGGTACCTGCGGGGAGAAAAACCCTTGGACAACCGGTCGCAGAGCCCCACTCAGCCACCCCAAACCACCTCACTGTGGACATGCCGGAGCCGAAAATCTTCTTCCCCGCTTACAAGATGCACATGACGGCAGCGGCATGTTGCATCTTCATGCTGTTCTTCCTGTTACGGATGTTGTCCGAGGACTGGTACACATGGATGCTGCGGGAGAAGAGCAAAGCTTGAGGCTCACCCGGGATCGGGGTCCGCCCCACGTGTGTGTCCCCCCATCCTGGGGACGTACCAGCCATCCTCGGTGCCCAACCACATGGAGCTCTGATGGGCTTCAGGGTCAAGGCTGAGGAGGTCCTCGAGGCTGCCCCGGGTGAAGGAGCCGCGGCTGGAGCGGCGCAGGGCTCGCCCGTCTGTGGGGCTCTCGCCATGCCGGTTTTGGCCGTAGGTGCTGGTGATGGGCATGAAGCCGGGCTCTTGCTCTTCCTCTGAGCTCGTCGTCTCTGCCGTTGCCTCCTTGCAGCTCGGTATCTCTTCATCTGCAGAGGAGGAGGAGAGGAAGGAAGGAATGGGTCAGACCACGACCACCCGACGCCCACCAAAGTGATGGGGAAGAGACCATGGGTCCCCTTGCGATGTCAAGCCCGGGGGAGGACGTAGGGATGCTGAGCCCCAAACCCACCAGCTTTTACCCAGAGCCACCAGCCCCATCCCAGCACCACGGGGCTGGGCTGATGCCCCGCAACATCTCTTTTCCCGGGATTTCCTTGGCTCAAAAGCCTCCAGCTGTGGAATTCCCTGAGGAACACAAGGCAGAGTGGGCAAAACGATGGAGCTGCCCATCATTTTAGCAGGGCCTGTAGCAATAGGCCAAGGGGGAACGGTTTTAAACTAAAGGGGGGTGGATTCAGACTAGATCTAAGGAAGAAATGTTTTACGCTGAGGGTGGTGAAGCACTGGCCCAGGTTGCCCAGAGAGGTGGTGGATGCCCCATCCCTGGAAACATTCCAGGTCAGGCTGGACAGGGCTCTGAGCAACCTGATCTAGTTGAAGATGTCCCTGCCCATGGCAGGGGGGGTTGGACTAGGTGACCTTTAGAGGTCCCTTCCACCCCAAACCGTTCTGTGATTCTATGATTTTGGGGCAAAGAAGTGGTTTTTCGCTAAGCAGGGACTCACTCCCGAAGCTGGAGGAGATGGTGGAGTGGCTGGCTTGGCTCTGCAGCGTCCCCGAGGGACTGGGCGAGGACTCGTCATCCGTGTCATCGCTATCGAAGGGCACGAGCTCCCTGTTGCCGCCGTCGACCGGCTCCGAGAGCTCCAGCGAGACGAGGGGAGGGGGGAAAGAAGCAGCTCCAGCATCGCCCCGTGCCCGCCGGCTCCGCGGTGCCGGTGGGAATGTCCTACCTATACGCCCGCTTGAGACCGGGCACGGAGGCGATGCAGAGGATCCTGGCGGAGCAGACGGCGATGCACGCCTCTACCGTGGGCTCCTTACGGATGCTGAGCAAACAAACCTGCCCCACGTAACCATCGCTGTTGCAAACCCAAACCTCGTGGGAGCTTTCCGGGCTGCCGTGGCTGGGAGAAGCACAAGAAAACTGCAAGGGAGCAAAAGATGGGATGAGTTGGGTCATTTGGGAATGACGCGGGAGCTCTCGGCATCCGGCGGCAAGCCCACCAGGATGGAGAGGACGACAGCTCCCGTGGGATGCTTGAATCCAGCCACCGAGTACCTGCATCCCGCTCCGCGTCTTCATGATGGGGATGGCCTTGAGGAACTCCGGGTCCAGGCAGTTTTTGCTGGAAGCTGGGAAAATTAAATTGGAGGATGAAGAAGCGATGGAGGGAAGGGGTCTACCAAAGTGGAGGCGTGATGCCAAGCCCACCACCGTGTCCACCTCCCCGGTCCCTGGTGTTACCCAGCTTCTTCTTGGCATCCTCGAAGGCTTGCTCAAAGCCGAGCCGGGCGTCGGGGTTGGGGAACTCAAAGATGAAGGACTCGGTGCCGTCAGCTTTGGTGGTGCTGAGCTCCACCTTGTTGGGGGGGAAGGCCATGCTGAAGGACAGGGATTGCTTCTCCGCCAGCTCCCGGTGGATGGCGGCCATCAGGTCCTTGATCACGTCGTCCAGGCTCTGGGGACGGGGACAACACTTCAGATCTCAGGGATGGGCCACCACCAGCCACGTGCCTCATCATGCCCCCATCCATCCCCTAGCATTCTTCAGAGGCTGCCCCAACCCCACTGTGGCTTTGGGGCTGGTGACATCTGGGCCCTTAGAGGACACTCATGGCCACCAGCCCTTCCACAGGCTCTCCTTCCCGCCAAGGAGATCCCAGTTGGTCCCCTGGGGAAGGTGTCTGGCCGGGGGACAGCACCAGGGCCACCATGTGACGCTGACCCTGTGCATCCCCAAGCATCCTTCAGAAGCTGCCCCAACCCGCCTTGTGGCTTTAGGGCTGGTGGCACCTGGGTCCTTTGAGGACACTCATGGCCACCAGCCCTTCCACAGGTTCTCCCTCCCGCTGAGGACATCCCGGGTGGTCCCATGGGGAATGTGTCCAGCCAGGGGACAGCACCAGGGCCATCATCCCCATACCTGGTGGGGGAAGCTGAGGGTCTCTGACAGCTTGCTGACTTGCCCCAACGTGCTGAGGTCTTCATCCAGGCGGCAGATGCTTTTCTGGATGCTCTCCCGGTTGGTGGCTTGCGAGGCACCTGTGTGGGAACATGCGCATGGCGTTAACCCCTTCCTCCCTGCCACTGCACAGGGAAACCTTCTCCCCGCCAGCCAGGGGTCAGCGATGGGTTTTGGGGTGGGACGGGACACTCCAGCAGGCAGTGACAGACCTTTGACGATGTCCACGTCCTCCAGCGGCAGCTTCCAGAGCAGTTTGTACTTGCTGGCGGTGTCGATCACGCTGGCCGCCGTGTACCTGCGAGGTTGGGGGGGTTGGCTGAGCTGCACCCTAAAGACAGCCCAGCTGGTGGGGACGGCCCTAGCGCCGTGGGTTAATGGGAGGGTTTTTTACGGCCCGAGCGACGTGGGTTAATGGCGGGGGGCGTCCCCCGGGTGGTACTCACAGGCTCATGGAGCTGCGGCGGAGGGAGCCCGACTTGCGCTTCAATGTCGTGCACACCAGCAGGTCCGTGAAGAGGAAGAAGGAGCGGTCCTTCTTCCCACCCACCGCCTTCTGCAGAGTGGTGGGAGACACCAAGGGGTTAATGTCCAGCCCACCCCCGCTGCCAGCGCTGGGAGCGGTCCCTGCCTCAGTTTCCCCATGTGCCGCCTTGGCACAGGGAGGCTGTGGGGTGGGACGGGTCCCATGCCACTGTCCGCATGGGGACCGGCCGTGTCCTCGTGATGGTGAAAGGTGGGTGAAACAGCTGTGTGGGCAAAGGCACAGGGTCCCACTCGGGGGGAAGCACCAGGGCCAGGGGAACACCAGGCATGGGCTCACCAGGACCCCTGCGGCCTCCAGCCTCCCTATCCACCCCTGGCCTGGGGCTGCTGCAGGCTCTCCCTGCCTCCTGCCTGCTCCCAAACCCATCTTCCCCCATATACTTGGGGAATTTTATATTGCCCCATCGATCTGTCATCGATCCATCCGTCCATCCTTCCATCCACCCAGCCTTACGTCCACCCATCCATCCTTATGTCCACCTATCCATCCATCTGTCCAACCTTCCTTCCTTCCATCCATCCATCCATCCATCCATCCATCCATCCATCCATCCATCCATCCATCCATCCATCCATCCATCCATCCATCCATCCATCCATCCATCCTTATAAAACCATAGAACCATAGAATATCTTGAGTTGGAAGGGACCCATAAGGATCATAGACTCCAACTCCCCGCCCCTTGCAGGACTACCTAAAAATAAACCATATGACTAAGAGCATCATGAACTCCCCCTGATGCAGCTTCCATCCATCCATCCCTCCATCCATCCATCCATCCATCCACCCACCCACCCACCCATCTGTAGCCTCTCACGGGCACACAGGCATCCCATGACCCGCAATCATAGCCTCCCACTGCCCCATCCGGTGTACGGTCCCCATGGCCCTGATGACGACAAGGGACCACCCCGCTCTTACCACTTCCACGACCATCTCCTGACGCAGGAACCTGCGGAGCGGGGCCTGGAGCTGCGGGGACAAGGAGGCTCATGAGCGGGGAGCCCCAGGGGGGACCCTTGTGGGCTTCGTCCCTGCCCCTGCAACCCCCTGGCTCAGAACTGGCACCCCAACCCCTTCCCAAACGCCCAGGAGCCCACCAAAGCCAAGTGAAGATGGGGAAAGCAGGACCCGGAGAAGAAAACAAGCGGCCCAGCCTGGGGTGACCCAGAAAGAACAGAAATGGTTGCATTTTGGGGAGAAGGGAAGACCGACCCCGTGTAAGACCCCCGTACGTACGTCCTCCATCCCTTCGATGTGGGACTCAATCTCCTGCACGATCCGGGCATTCCTCTCCACCTCTTCCGCGCTCTTCATGCCCTTGTTGATCCTCTCGGCCACTTGCTTGATGTTGCGCTGGGCGTCGATAAGGAAAGGGTGGTCGGGGTGGTCCTCTGGCGTGTGCTTCAGCAGGTCCTACCACGGGGACACAGCCGGGACGTCACCGTGGGCAAAGCCTGGGCATCGGCGATGCCATGACATCCCCAGGTAAAAGCCCTTACCGCGCTGCTCTGGCTGTTGGGGATGGAAACCAGCCCCGTGCAGGAAAGGTTTCGCAAAGAAACGAAGCCTTGAGCTTTGGCCACCACCAGCCTGGTCTTTGCCACCTCTAAAGAGGCCACCAGCTCCTGAGAGCACATCATCACCTTGCACGGACGCCCCAAATTCACCACTGGAAGTGTTCAAGGTGGGGTTGGATGGGGCTTTGAGCAACCTGCTCTAGTTGAAGATGTCCCTGCCCATGGCAGGGGGGTTGGACTAGATGGCCTTCGAAGGTCCCTTCCAACCCAAACCCTTCTGTGATTCTATGAAAGCGCATCCCCACCAGCCTCAGCGCCAGGGAGAGTGACCCTGGCACGGGGAAACTGAGGCACGGAGGGGGTGGCAGTGCGACTGGTCCCAAAATGGCGCTGCCATGTCCAAGCTCCCAGCAGAAGGGTAGAGGGGAAGGGGACTTGCACACCCGTAGGGACACGCTGTGGGGGACAGCGGGGTGACAGTCCTCAGGGTGACCATCCCCAGGAGGGCAGAGCCGTGCGCATGCCTGGGTGCCCAACTTTGTGTCAAGGGGTGGGAAAAGAGGCCGGGAGAGACGCGAGACCCCTAAAAGCTCCCGTTACGTGGAGGTGAGGAGGAGCCGTGGTCTCACCCGCTCCCAGCACGGCACAGACATCCTCCTGCCTGCACCCGGCTGTCGGCACCCACCTTCACCAGCAGCTCGTATCGTGGGATCCTCTGCACCGGCTTGATCATCAGGTCGGACAGAGCCTGCTTCTCCTTGTTCTCCCGCATGCTTTGCTGCAAAACACCGGCAGGGGACAAGGACGGACCCGTTAGGTGGGACACAGCAGGGACCCGGTGTGCCACCAGCCCAGGACCTGGAGCAACACCCATTTGGGTTCAGGGTGACTCCTTTTTACACCGTCCGGAGCGACTCCGGTTCATCCCAACCTGGCCTCTTTGCAACCAAACCAAGAAGAAGGTGGGGGGAAAAAATCCCGGTCTGACCATAAATTACCAGTTTACTCCCATTAACCCCCATCCCCCCCCGCCAGCAGCCTCGCAGGTGGCTATGGACCTTGGCCAGCATCTATGGGGAGAGGAACCAGAACCCACCTCCAGGAACTTCATGAATGCCGGCCGGGCTTCCTTGGCGATCCTGACGGCATCCTTGGCATTGAGGAAGTTATCGATGTAGGCAGAGTAGATGTTCACCAGCACGTCCTTGGAGAACTGAGGGGAAAAAAGAAGGGGGGGGGGGGGAGGGGGTGGGGC